CTCCCTGGCAATCTCTCTAATAAGGGGAGAATATGTGCAGACCTACAAGCTCTGTATAGCTCGCAATGTGTGGCTGTGAAAGTTGGACCATAAGGAAGGCTGAACGCCAAAGAATGGAGGCCTTTGAAATCTGGCACTGGAGAAGACTCCTGCGAGTCCCTTGGACTGCAAGGCCATCCAACCAATCGGTCTTAGAGGAGATCAACCCTGACTGCTCTTTAGAAGGCCAGATCATGAAGAGGAAACTCAAAGACTTTGGCCACCTTATGAGAAGGAAGGACTCACTGGAGAAGAGCCTAATGCTGGGAAGGACTGAGGGCAAAAGAAGAAGGGGACGACAGAGAATGAGGTGGCCAGATGGAGTCACCGAAGCAGTTGGCGTGAGCTTGAATGGTCTCTGGAGGATGGTAGAGGACAGGAAGGCTTGGAGGAATGTTGCCCATGGGGTTGTGATGGGTCACACATGACTTCTCAGCTAAGAACAAGAAGACAAAATCCTTGCTGAAAATACTGTATTTTAACCGATCTCTGAGTGGTCTCAACTCACTCAGATTAATATATTTCTTTAACAATATTTGCAATAAGGAAAAACTATCATACTGAATATGATACATGATGATGAATATATTATATTTGTGTGTGTATTGTGTGCATATTATATTTATGTGTGTTTTATATATGTATGTGTATTTATTTACACACACTGTACATTCCCCTTACTTGAAAAATCTCAAGCTCTGGTTTTTAGAAGCATTTATCTTAAGTTTTACATCTCAGGGATTTGATGGGAATATCTATTCTCTTTGAATCTGCTCGGAACAACTGAATTTCTTTCACTATGTAAAAGCTGTGCGTCTAGTTTGAGAAAGAACATTAAACCCATCTGAAATAATTGGGGATGTGGAAAAGTGGTAGAACCTTATTCAATAATTATGTTCTTATAAGATATGTGTAAAACTAAAATCAGAATGTGGCCCATCCAGGGGTAGACAAGGGCACAGCATCTGTTTGCATGGCTATCAGTTGTGAGACAGCTGATTGTGAGGGGAAGGACTAAGGGCTGTGTTTTATGTAAGACATTATTTTTCTGATCTGTGGTTATGTGGAAGAACCCTAATCACTCCTATTAAGTATGGATTGTGACTTGAATGGGCAGGGGTGGAACAGCACATCAGATTCACTGCCCTGTGCAGTGCAAAATATCTTTGAAGCAGTTGTCCCTGACTAGCCACAGGACACTTAGCAACCCTTAGAAACAAAAATCTCTCTCCTGCTGCTTAGTTGTATGCAACGCTCCCCAAATTCTTGTTGCTAGAATCCAATATGTTCCCTCCTCCTTGAATTCCATACTCCCTCACATTTGGCAGTCCAGCAAACCTAAGGACCCGGGCCTCAAATTCTCTCAGGTGGTACTAAACAGAGGTAAGGGAAATTGTGGGGGAATTGCCTGTGTAATGTATTTATATTAATTGCTATTTGACAGCTAGGCTGTTTGTTTCCTGCATACTGGAGCTGCATTGAATGGAGAACACAAGATTACTAGTTTGACAGTTACCTGGTAGACCAGATGGACAGTACACAAATTAATCAAATAATAAATGGATAGATGGATGAATGGATCGAGAGATGGATGGATGGATGGACATACAGATGATAGCTACATGACAGAGAAAGGAAGGAAGAAAAAAAAGGAAGAAGAAAGAAAGAAAAAGAAAGAAAGAAAAGGATTACATCTGAGAAGGGGTTACTCAGCCTGCTTTTTGGACTCCGCAGATCACATCAAATCAAAAAGGAAGCGCACGGGCTGGGTTCGCATCACAGGCTCAAATGAAATAGGCTCGCCTGCGGTTCATTATGTGGTTTGACCTACAATCCCTGTGAGAAAAAGGACAACCTGGCCGCAGAAAAGGCCCCTGTTTATTTCTCCCGCTGAGGGAAGAGAGCGGGGGCGGCCTGCGGTAGCTCCGCCCCGACGGCCGTCTCCTTCGCGGGCGCGGAGGAGCTGCTGTCGATGTGTTGCTAAGCTGGACACGCGCTCTCCTCGGCCAGACGCCTCTTCGGCTCGACCCCGGCTGAACGTCCAACCTGCGCCGCCGCGCCTCGTTGCTCTCGGTTCTTCTTCGCGGCAGCCGAGGAGCGGCTCCATCTCCTGCGCGCAAAGGTAAGAGCGCTTCGCGTTCCGCTCCCACCAAACTTTCTCAGTTCCCGGACGAGGTTGTGAGGCTGCCTTCCCAGCGCGATCGGACGGCAACAGTAGGAACTGTCCGTGGTATCGCAGTGTGGAAAGGACAGCTTGGAAATAGCTGAGGAGGTAGCAGCTGATAACTCTCTATGAGGGGGAAAAACAAGGGACGGGACGGCCTTTCTTGTGGCTAAGTGGAAGTTCTCTCGAATTAGCTCAGGGAGCTGGGCTCAGGAGTGCCTCTGAGAACATGCAGAATGCCTCAAAGCTACTTATTTCCTCTTTCTGAAATGGCAGGGAGACAGGGATCTTTCCAATTTAAATATTTGATTTCCTAGAACTGGCTTGTAATTTTTTTAGGCTTATTCTTTAGTGAGATCAAATACACTATTGGTCTCCCTCAAGATGTGATGTCAAAGTTAAAAGAAGCCTTGAAATCCTCATCCTTACTTACTAGCCTGCTAAATGGGCATATTAAGTGAATCCAATTAAATACAATTAAGAAATTAGTACATTTTAAAGAGTATCCAGTGGATTATTGTACATTAATGCTTCATTTTTCTATTTTGGAAAATGAATCAGGTATAAACTAACACGCCACAGCTGCAACAATAGTGGCTGATCCAATTCCATTTATCTGTTGGTCGTTGTCCAACCTCTCTGTGGGGTAGCAGATTGTGTGAAGGGATTGTGCTTTGCTGTTTCCACTATCATTTTAGAATCATTTTTTATAGTCTGATGTCATCTAAACATATTGGGTAACGTAGACTGTGTCCATTGAAAAAGGAGATGATAAGATTGGAAAGCACCAAGTTGAAGGCTGTTTTATTTTTCAAATAGCCTGTTTTGGTTGTTAACAGTCTGCATTATCAGTATTTGTACTATTACACTTATCATTCAGATCTTTGTCAGTACTTGATTTCTCAAGATGAAAGTGAATCACCCCTGGATTTCATTTTCTTAAAAAAGAACAGTCTAGCACTATATTTGAAATGATTGAGTGCTGTAATTCCTGATAATGACTTGTCCTTGTTGTGCATGGGGCCTTATTTGTTTTTCAAAATACGTTATGTATTCAGTGCAGAAACTTTAAATCCCATTCTTAAATATGTATTGTGCATTCTAATGCTTTGTGTAAATATGCACGGTTCAATGAAAAAACAAGGCAACGTACTATGGAAATGCTGAACAGCATTTGTAAAAATTGATCCCAAGAGTAAAAATAATGCATAGGAGGTTTACCATATTAAAACTGAAATGACAATAGAATTTCTGAAGCAGGGAGGGCCTCTTCGCAGAGGTCTGAAACAAAGGGTATGTGTATTAACATGACTATAGCATTCTATGTACAATTTAGTGTGTCTGTTTAGTGTCTCTGACTGTAGCAGAATTTGAAATTTCATAACTAAGACTGAATTCCTTATGAGAAAAGAGCAAACAAGTGAAAAATGGAAGCTTTCCAGCATCTCAAAGGAAAAGGAATATGAAGAATATAGTACAGTAGTTTTTTTCCTAAGTAAAGACCTAGCTAGCCAACCAGGAGGTTTAAAAAGTATTCCTGATTTATGCTTATGAATAGTACTATTCATAGAAAGTCTCCCTAACTGACCGAAATCTCATATTTCAAATCAGAGCAGTGAATTTCAACATTCACCGTAATTCTGTTTTATCTGGTTTAAGCCTCGCCTTGTTGACTTTTACTCATCCCATAATTATATATATTCATGCCTGATCTAATTCTCTGTTTTATTCCTGAGACTAGTGAATAGACAGAGAGAGATTGATAAATGTCACTTTTTGTATAGACACATTGATGACTCTTCAACAAAAAACCTCTGCATGATATTTTCCAATGGAGTTATGCAGATGAAAAGGAAAGGAGGCAAAATAAGACCCAGAGCTCAATGGCCAGGCACTACAACAGACTCTGCCATACCATTAAGGTTCTCAATCATTTCCTAAGTTACTCAGAAGAATAAGATGGCCAATGATATCAATATCATATATCAATATAGCAATATCATATACCTCTTAGTTGCTTCACTATACAAACACATTCCAGTTACATTAGTAATAATTTAGAACTGGAATATTTCATAATACTAAATGTTTTGTATATGTTGGCATTTTATGAAAATATTGGATTGGATCTTGGATGATGTTGAGAAAAACACCATTAACTGGACTGTTCTCTCCCAAACCAGAAAAAGGGAAAGAATGAGGTCTTCCATATGCTCTCCTTCAACCTGCTGTGTTGCCTAGAAATCTGTTCAATGTATTTGGTAATACTTCTGCAGAAAGGTGATAATAACGCAGAGGGGAAAAATAGGTTAAAAACTAGAAGCTTCTGCCTTTTATACAGAAGGAAGAAATAGCCCAACCTATCAAAAGCAACACCGATGGAGATAGAACAGGTATACAAATCAAAATAGGCAAGGGACTAGTAAGAAAATCCTATCCAACCTGGATGAATACAGATCACCTGGACCGGATAGTTTACATCCCAGGATTTTGAAGGACTGGCAGATGTAATATCGGAGCCATTGAATGTAATTTTTCAAGGTCCATGTTGCACACGGGAAACACCAAAGGACTGGGGGAGGGGACCCCAGTATGGTTCCAATCTACAAAAAGGGGGAATAATGAATCCAGAATCCAAAATTATACGCCAATCAGCTTAATATCAATACCTAGGAAAACCCTGAAAAAAATAATCAAGCAAGGGATTTGTGAGCATCTAGGTGATGCCTAGGAGCCAACATGTGTTTGTTAAAAATAAATCATGCCAGACAAACCTTATATGATATTGATATTGATAATGTAACCAAATTAGTGGACCAGTAAAATGCTGTGGACATAATATACTTAGAATTCATCAACACATTTGATAAAGTAGACCACAACCTACTTCTTGGTAAGAGAGGACAATATGGGATAGACAGTACCAACACTAGAAGGATTCACAATTGGCTGACCAACCACACTCAGCAGGTAGTCCTCAATGGAACTACAACTACATGGAGCGAAGCATGCAGTGGGGTACTACAAGGTTCAGTCTTGGGCCCAGGACTCTTCAACATCTTCATAAATGATCAAGATGAGAGAATGGAAGGGGAACTCATCAAATGTGCAGATGACATCAAGGTGGGTGGAGAATTGCTAATACTTTAATTGAATTGAATTGAATTGAATTTATTATATTTCTATGC